AGTGCTCTACATATAGTTCACTTAACGCAACTACCTTATAATGAAGTAATGGTCACATAGTTGGATTTTACAGACGAGAAAAGATTGATTTGCATAAAAATTATATCACCACAGACCTTGATCTTTCATGACTATATGAAAATCAACAAAGTCTGTTCCTCATTCACTCACCACCTTTTTTCTTTTCTTTTTTTTTTTTTGGGGTGGTGGTAATGGGGGGGGAGTTGAGACTGGGATTCTCTGTGGCTTTGGAGGCTGGAACTAGATCTTGTTGGATCTCTCCAACTCAGAGATCCGCCTGCCTCTGCCTCCCAAGTGCTGGGATTAAAGGTGTGTGCCACCACCGCCTGGATTTACCGCCTTTTTTCAGACAGGATCTATTATTGAATCTAGAAGCTCACAAATCAGTTTGACTGTCTAGCCAGCAAGCCTAGAGATGCACATGCTTTGGTCCCCCTAGCGCTGGCACTATAGGTCCACAGTGGAATTACAGGCCTGCACTGGGACACCTGGCCTTTTTCCTTTTCACCTGGGTTCTGGAGCCAGAACTCATATCCCCAAGGCTTGTAAGACCAAGTGCTTTGTCAAGTGCTGAGTCACTGCCCACAACACCTTGCTCTTGACCATTATGCTACATTACCTGTCTTTGAAAAGCAAATGTGGCCCAAAAGTGACACCAATGACATCATGTGACTACTGCAACACAGTGCTTCAGGAATGGAGGTGGGAAAGGAAGGCAGTGGCTAGCATCCTTGCCGGTAACACAACAAAGACTGCTTTCTCAGGCTGAAACTCAAGATATTTGTGGAATGAACACTGACAGTCATGTACACCCTCACTTCAATAACAATCACTAGTCCTTGGGGCACTTCAGCTCCCTGTCCAGAGCTGTGGTTTTGCAACAGGAAGCAAGCCCTGTGCATCAATTATCAGAAACACTTTCATCAGACAGGGAACCCACACCAGTACGTTAACCCATTCTCATGACCCCCGCAGCATCCCCAGCAGGGGGACTGTAATCTTGCAGATAACAAATACTATCTCTTACTCACACACCATCAAGATTTAATAGGAATTAAAGGATGTCATCTCTAAATTAGCACTCTCGATGACTCTCTTCCCCTCCCTTCACAGTACCTGACCCACTAGTTCTTGGCAGCTATTGGGTTTAAATAATCTAAAACCACCATTTCCAAAGGTCGTACATGAGCTGAAGACCCTCGCCTGCCTTCAATACACAGCACCTTCAGGCCTATGCCCTTTCTACTTACTGATGACTCTGTATGGATTATTCCTAGATCTTGGCCTGGCTCGGTCCTTCTCGATATTCTGTTTTCCATGCCTGTATCACTTCCTTTCCCAAGCCTTGGCCTTCAAGGACCGACTTCCCAAACTGCACCGTTCCAGATCCGAAGCGCTAAATCACCCGGTCGAGTAAACCCTCACTCCAACAACTGCTTTTAAACACTAAACTGCTGGATACACGTAGGGCTGCCAGCCCTCTCCACCCAACTCAAAATACCAGGGAGAAACTAATTCCAAAAGAAAGCATTTGCAAGTGATTTGGCAACACGTCACCTCAAAACAAAGGCGATAACCCGTGGCTGGACTAGCTAAGTGGTATCTACAGAGGAACCCCCACAACCCGGCTCAGCTGGTGGTTCACACGCTTTTCAGGAACCGA